TGTCATTTGAATTGGTGAGTTTTCTTCCTTCCGTGTCATCTTTTGTCTTTTCGTGCGTCTAAGCCCTTTGATGGATACGTGCTAACGGCACGTAAGTTTATATCCTCCTTCAATATTTTCATATTTGTCAGGTAGTACGTTAAATTTGTATCAAGATTAGAATGCTATTACGTGTAGCCCTCGATTTTCGCCTGGACGTGTTGCTGGACGAAAGGTCGTAATCGGAGTCGGCGTAAATTGAAACTGTTTTATAATGTAAATTAATGGGACATCTATGACGTGCGTTCCCAGCACCCAGACATTGATGAGTAAAATAATGGCATTACGGTAAAGCTCTGAAATAACTTAATAAAATAAAAGTAATTTAAAAAATATATTTTACACACTTACAATCGGCAGTTCGTCGGTCACCGCGATTGACTGCGGTTCTTTCGTGCGATTGATGTGTACAGTCATCTCTGCTGTTATGCGATAGTTGTATTCATATAAGATGCAGACCAATTGAAAATCGCGTAGTAAAAATAACGTCGGTACCTCCGCAGAGATTAAATTAGTCCTTTGAAAGTTTAAAGGGCCAGGAATTAAATTGCATATGAGCATACTCGCATATGCAAAAGTTTCCATTTCACGAATGTTTTTTCCGATTCATCGATGTCATTGGAGCAAATTCGCGATAATGAGACATACGTAATTGTAGAGAGGACTGTATTTATAATTTTCATTCAAAATGAGCGGTGTAAGAATTATGGTTTAGTATAAGAATCGGTACGAGAGACATTGTAAAATGTTTTTAATTAATTGTAAAATATATTTTCTTCACTTTTTGACTTTATTGTTTCAAAATTGGCGTTATTCTGAATCGGCGCAAATCGAGGTCTATCTGTGTATTAACTGTAAGTTGCGTCTTAGTTTTTCAGGATTTCAAAAAACCTGACCATCAGTTTTCTTGGGTTTTGAGCATCTCTCGATTTCAGTTGATGCATACTTGCTGGTAGTGGGAGTTGTAGGTCTTTACTACTTGTATGAATTGTACTTTAAATTATTATGAAAGTGCGATGATATTGTTTTAATTGGTACTCTTTTTTCAGGATTTTCGATGTCTGTCCACCGCCGTCGGTTTCATTTCTCTTTAATTGGTGAGTCGTCTTTATTTTGTGGCATCTACTTTTTCTTGTCGAAGGACAAAGCCCTCTTGTTGTGTAGTTGGTAGCAGTACTTAAGTCTATACATTTGCTTTAGTATTTCCTTATTTGGCAGATTGTACTAGAGACTATTATCAAAGCTACAATGATGTTGACTGGAACACGTAATTGTTTGATGGTTTGTTTTTCAGGTTTCCAACACCGCCCAAACTTGGGGTCGCAGATACATCATTTAATGTTAATAGGTGAGATCTTACTTAAAATTATTATTATTATGAAAACTGCAATAATGTTGTTGTTAATTGGACCTCGTTTATTTTTTTCAGGGATTTTCAACAACCTGAATACGGCCATTGCCACAGCCATACCTAGGGGGCAGAGTTAATTGATGTCATTTGAATTGGTGAGTTTTCTTGATTCCTGGTCATCTTTTCTCTTTTTCTGTGTCTAAGTCCTTTCATGCATACGTGCTAACGGCACGTAGGTTTATAGCTTCCTTCAGTTTTATCATACTTGTCAGATAGTATGTTAAATTTTTATCAAGATTAGAATGCTATTACGTGTAGCCCTCGATTTTCGCCTGGACGTGTTGCTGGACGAAAGGTCGTAATCGGAGTCGGCGTAAATTGAAACTCTTTTATAATGTAAATGAATGGGACGTCAATGACGTGCATTCCCAGCACCCAGACATTTATGAGTAATATAATGTCCTTGCAGTAAAGCTCTGAAATATCTTAATAAAATAAAGGGAATTTAAGAAATATATTTTACACACTTACAATTGGCAATTCTTTGGTCACCGCAATTGACTGCGGTTCTTTCGTGCGATTGATGTGTACAGTCATCTCTGCTGTTATGCGATAGTTGCATTCATATAAGATGCAGACCAATTGAAAATCGCGTAGTAAAAATAACCTCGGTACCACCGCAGAGATTAAATTAGTCCCTTGAAAGTTTAAAGGGCCAGGAATGAAATTGCATATGAGCAAACTCGCATATGCAAAATTTTCCATTTCAGAAATTTTTCCGATTCATCGATGTCATTGGAGCAAATTCACGTTAATGAGACATACGTAATTGTAGAGAGGACTGTATTTATAATCTTCATTCAAAATGAGCGATGTAAGAATTACGATTTAGTGTAAGAATCAGTACGAGAAGCATCGTAAAATGTTTTTAATTAATGGTAAAATATATTTCTTCACTTTTTGACTTTCTTGTTTAAAAATTGGCGTAATTCTGAATCGGCGCAAATCGGGGTCTACTTGTGTTTGAACTGTAACTTGCATCTTAGTTTTTCAGGATTTCCAAAAGCCTGACCACTAGTTTTCTTGAGTTTTGGGCATCTCTCAATTTCAGTTGATGCATACTTGCTTGTAGTAGGAGACCTTGTATCTTGTTGTAGGTCTTTAGTACTCGTATCAATTTTACTCTAAATTATTATTAAAGCTACAGTGATGTTGACTGGAACACGTTATTGTTTGATGGTTTGTTTTTCAGGTTTCCAACACCGCCCAAACTTGGGGTCGCAGATACATCATCTTATCTTAATAGGTGAGATTTTACTTGAAATTATTATTATTATGTAAACTGTAATTATGTCGTCGTTAATTGGTTCCCCTATCTTAGTTTTTCAGGAATTGCGACAACCGGACGATGACCATTACCTCCGCCACAGGCTGTAGGGGGCGCAGTTTCTCTCTTCTCTCCATAATTCGTGAATCCTGTCAGGTCCTCGACTACCGCCGCCATCCCTAGGGTTGAATCTACGTGCGTCACGACGTGAGTGGTGAGTTTTGTCATGTTTGGGACACTTTTGTATTTTCGAGCTCCATAGGGCTCTTGATGCATACCAACTTTATACTTATTTGGCTGATTGCACTTTTCATTGTTGTCGAAACTACAATGATGTTAATGGGTATTTGCTTCTTTGTTTTTCAGTAATTCCGTCGGACTGGCCACCACTACGATCGCCAACCCTACGGTCGTACTTTGTTTCATCTCGTCTTAATCGGTGAGTTTTCTTGAGTTTGCCGTATCTGTTTCGATTGTTGTTCTATGTCCAAAATACTGTTAATGCATAGTTTTTAGCGGTATGCAAGTTAATGTTTTCACTGGTAGAAGAATGTCATTCGTGCAAAAAGCAATCTGTCTTCATCATCCGTAATTTTGTAAGTTAGACGGAATTGCCGTGAGTTTTTAGACGAGGTGACCGATCATTGGCTTCGAAAAAACAGCTCGTCTTTTGAAAGTCATGTTATGCTACGTGCATCAGTTCGGAAAGTACCCGAACATTACATTCCTGGTTTTAGATTATGAAGTTGTAGTTGGTTCACGCTATAGGGATTGGCGCATTAGAGTATTAGCTGCCGCCATTTAACACTCGTCACATCGCGTTTGAATCTTCTCGCAACTTCGCGTATTATACTTTAAATTGTTTTGAAAACTACAATGATATTGTTGTTAATTGGTACCCGTTTCTTAATCGTTAAAGAATTCGGACAACCGGACGATGAGCATCACCTCTCTTCATAAGTCGTGAATCCTGTCAGAGGACCTCGACTACCACCGCCAACCCTAGGGCTGCATGTACGTGCATGACGTCATAAGCGGTGAGTTTTATCATGTGTGGTACACTCTCTCTTGTAACTGCAGTGACATTAATAGGAGTTTGTTTCTTTGTTTTTCAGTAATTCATCCGACTGACGACCACTACGATCGCCAATCCTAGGGTCATATTGTATTTCATCTCGTCTGAATCGGTGAGTTTTCTTGAGTTTGCCGTATCTATTTGGATTGTTGTTCTATATCCAAAGTACTGTTAATGCATAATTTTTAGCGGTATGCAACTTAATGTTTTCATTGGTAGAAGAATGTAATTCGTGCAAAAAGCAATCTGTCTTCGTCACCCGTAATATTGTAAGTCACGTGGAATTGCCGTGAGTTTTTAGACGAGGTGACCGATTATTGGCTTAGAAAAAACACCTCGTCTTTTGAAAGTCATTTTTTGCCACGTGCATCAGTTCGGAATTTATCCAAACATCACATTCCTGGTTGTAGATTATGAATTTGTAGTTAGCTCACGCTATATGGATTGGCGCATTAGAGTATTAGCTGCCGCCACTTAACACTCGTCACATCGCGTTTGAATCTTCTCGCAACTTGGCTTATCGTACTTTAAATTGTTTTGAAAAGTACGATGATGTTGTTGTTAATCGGTACCCGTTTCTTAATCGTTAAAGAATTCGGACAACCGGACGATGAGCATCACCTCTCTTCATAATTCGTGAATGCTGCGAGGACCTCGATTACCGCCGCCATCCCAGGGGTTGAATCTACGCGCATCGCGTCATAAGCGGTGAGTTTTATCATGTGTGGTACAGTCTCTCTTGTAACTGCAATGACATTAATAGGAGTTTGTTTCTTTGTTTTTCAGTAATTCATCCGACTGACGACCACTACGCCCGCCAATCCTAGGGTCATATTGTATTTCATCTCGTCTTAATCGGTGAGTTTTCTTGAGTTTGCCGTATCTATTTGCATTGTTGTTCTATATCCAAAATACTGTTAATGCATAATTTTTAGCGGTATGCAACTTAATGTTTTCATTGGTAGAAGAATGTAATTCGTGCAAAAAGCAATCTGTCTTTGTCACCCGTAATTTTGTAAGTCACGTGGAATTGCCGGGAGTTTTTAGACGAGGTGACCGATTATCGGCTTAGAAAAACACCTCGTCTTTTGAAAGTCATTTTTTGCCACGTACGTCAGTTCGGAATTTATCCGAACATTACATTCCTGGTTGTAGAATTGTATGAATTTGTAATTAGTTCAGGCTATAAGGATTGGCGCATTAGAGTATTAGGTGCCGCCATTTAACACTCGTCACACTGTGTTTTGAATTTTCTCGCAACTTGGCGTATTGTACTTTAAATTGTTTTGAAAAGTACGATGATGTTGTTGTTAATCGGTACCCGTCTCTTAATGGTTAAAGAATTCCGACAACCGGACGATGAGCATCACCTCTCTTGATAAGTCGTGAATCCTGTCAGAGGACCTCGACTACCACCGCCAACCCTAGGGCTGCATATACGTGCACGACGTCATAATTGGTGAGTTTTCTCGAATTCACTTGTTTACAATATTTATTTCTTCCAATGTTAAAAACGTACATAGTTGAAATTTGGTACATAAATTAAAATGAAGAAAAAGAAAGTATTTTGTTTTGACATGTGAAAGAAGTCTAACGATAGACATGAAAAAGTTACTTGGAGAAGTTTTGTGATGTTCGGTGCATTAAGCACAATTTTCGCTGAATTGCGTTTTGGAACCTTACCTGTGAAATCGTACGCACGTCGCGATAGTAAATCAAGACGGAAAATTGAAAGTGAATGACATGGTTTTACTGACATTGCATTCTATTTAGCCTCAATATGTGAGAATTCTACCCCTGCATTTGAAGAAGAGAAAGACAGGTCTGTATAACCTTCGTCACAAGTCATCGAATCTGTCTTAGCCGAAATTCCTTTGCCGTCTTGTTAACGAGGCCGTAACAATGGATGCCCGATGAATGTGGCGTAAGAAATTGAGGCATTTTGGCATGTTGTTAGTGCATTAACTCTTAAATCCTGGCCTTGATGTTTGCTTCTTGACACTTAAGAGATAAAATAGAAAAATTTGTTGTTGTTTACAATGGTTTATAAATTATAGTACGGTGCTGGTTTATAACCACACCCTGTATTCCGTAATAAAGAAGTCTTTTTAACTTGTTACATTTATTTCATTCTTGAAAATGTAAGGGCCTCTTGCCATAGTGGCATTGTTTAGACATTTACTAATTTAAAATTACTTCATTTAGAGGTGTAAAAAGAATTTTGTATTTAAATCGTATGAACAGTGTGACTGAAAATTATTGTATTTTTTCAGCGCTGCACTGCGCCGTGCTGAGCTCAAGAGATGCGTCCTGGCGCCA